CTTCTGGCTTTTATTAGAAAAGTTTGTTGTTGTTTTAAATGGCATCTCACGTTGTAGCCCTGGCTGGCCTGAACTCTCTTTGTAGACCAGGCTGGTTTCAAGCACACAGACATCTGCTTGGCTCTGCATTCTGAGACTTATGGTTTGGGAGGGGTGGTGGTTTAAATAAGAATGGCCCCCATAGGCTCATAGGTTTGAATGATTAGTCATCAAGGAGTAGCATATTTGAGAAGAATTGGTAATTGTGGCCTTGTTGGAATAGGTGTGGCCTTGGTAGAGGAAATCTGTCACTGGGTGGGCTTTGAGGTTTCAAAAGCCCAAGCCCAGTGGCTCCCTCCCTCTCCCTCTCCCTCTCCCTCTCCCTCTCCCTCCCTCTCTCTCTCTCTCTCTCTTCTACAGATCTAGACGTAGAACTCTCAGCTACTCCTCCAGCATCTTGTCTGCCTGTGTGCCACCATGCTCCTGCCCTGACAATAATGGACTAAACCGCCAAACCATAAGCCAGCCACAGTTAAATGCTTTCTTCTGTAAGAGTTGCTGTGGTCGTGGTGTCTCCTCACAATTAGAACACTGACTGAAACAGGAGCGTGACCATCCATGCTGGCTGAGCAAAGGCATGGCTGGCTGCTGGAACAGCAGCAGGAAGCGGAGGGCAAACGAGGAATGCTGAATCTTTTGGAACCTGGAAGCCTGCCCCAGTGACATCCATCCTCCACCAAGGCCACACCTCATAATCCTTCCCAAACAGTTTGCAACTTCGGGCCAATTATCCAAACACATGAGTCTGTGGGGGTCATTCTCATTCAAAACACCACCACTCCCAAAGACTGGCAGAAGTAAAGCTGAATAACCAACCTCTATCTGCAGGTCTCTAGTGCCTGGCCCCAGAGCTCTAGCCTTGCTCCAAGCCTGACCCGGTGACCTCCGGGCATCCCATTAGGGCTGGCAGAAAGCTTTTTCATCCATTGTCTAGATTCCCCCAGAATCTGGACATAGCAAGCATAATGACCCCCATTTTACAGACAAATTTTACAGAGAAATTCAGCACAGACACTGAGATTAAGATTTGGACCTTGACTGATGTGGCGGCTCACACCTTCAGTGACCCACACACTTTAGCACTTGGCAAACAGACAAGAGCATATCTCTGTAAATCCAAGGACATCCTGGGTCTACATAGCAAGTTCCAGTCTAGCCAAGGATACACAGTGAGACACTATATATATATATATATACCAAGGGCCAGCAAGATAGCAAGTTGGCTTAGTAGATAGAAGTGTTTGCTGGCCAGGTGGTGGTGGTGGTGGTGGTGGTGGTGGTGGTGGTGGTGGTGGTGGTGCACACCTTTAATCCCAGTACTTGGGGCAGAGACAGGTGGATCTCTCTGAGTTTGAGGCCAGCCTAGTCTACAGAGCAAGATCCAGGACAGGCACCAAAACTACACAGAGAAACCCTGTCTGGAAAAACAAAAACAAAAACAAACAAACAAAAAAGTGTTCGCTATATAAGACTGACTACTTGAGGTCAATCCCCAGACCCCAAAGTGAAAGAAGAGATCCCACTCCCTAAATTGTGTTCTGAAGTATGCACACCCACCACTACCATCCCACAACAACAGCAATGAATAAATAGATTTGGACAGAGAGCACAGGGTGTAACTCAGTTGTAGAGTGCTTGTCTAGTATGCACCAAAGCCCTGGGATAAAACCAGCGCTACATAAACTAGGGGCCCCATTTTATCAAGAGTGAGGAAGCAATGGTCCAAGGTTAGGTCACAGCTGACCTGCCCCAGGGTCGTCCCCCAAGGAGCCATCTATTACACTATTAGGAAGACTAGAGCACAGGTCTTCAGATAAGGAAACTCACATGGGATTCAGCCCAGGCTGGGGCATTTCCCAGTAAAATACGACAGGAACCTGAGGCAGGAGGGTCCCAAGACAAAGGCCAGCCTATACAGAGTGAATCACTGTCTCACAAACAAAAAATGGGGCTGGAGAGACGGCTCAGCTGGTAAAGTACTTGCCAGACAAGCATGAGGAGCCGAGTTTGATCCCTAAGCTAGGACCCACACTGAGGAGGAGGAGGAGGAGGGAGGAGGAAGAGGAGGAGGAGGAGAGGAGGAGGAGGGGGGGGAGGAAGAGGAGGAGGAGGAGAGAAAGAAGAGGAAGAAGCCACAATGCACTGTGGATCCAACTGTAATCCTAGCACTGAGGAGCCAGAGCAGAGGTTAAGTGGCCAGCCTAACTGGTGATCCCTCACCAAATGAGAGACTCCATCTCAATAAAAGCCAAGAGTAGCTGGTGAGGTGGCTCAGGGAGAAGGCGCTTACCTGCCATCAAGCCTGAGGGCCTGAGTTTGAGCTCCGGACCTTCACGGTGAAAGGAGAGAACTGACTCCTTCAGGTTGCCCTCTGACCTCTACACGTGTGCTGTGGCACACACACTTTAAAATGTATTCTTTTTTTTATTTTTATTTTTTTTTTTGAGACAGTCTCACTATGTTGCCATGGAAGGGCTGGAACTTACTGTGTAGACCAGACTGACCTTAAACTCATAGAGATCTGCCTGCCTCTGCCCTCTGAGTCCTGGGATTAAAGGCCTATGCCAAGATTCCCAGCCATAATTTTTTTAATTCTTTGTTTTTCTTGATAACAAAGAAACCTAGAAAATACAAATAAAAAAAAGGAAAAGGAGGGAACCTCAGAGGAAGTGATACCTCAAAGGCCCATGTGGGTGTCTTTAAAACCTCGCTAATATCCAGACTCAAGTTACAGATCTATGGAGCCCACCAGAAGCTGTCCACTGTTTGGAGGTGCCTTCTCCGCCACCCTACCCCCTGGGGCCATTGATGTGAGCGACCTCCAACCAGTCCGGACAACCAAGAAGTTTTCTGCCATCCCGTGACCCACCAGAGTCTGATCATGGAACTTCTGGAGCTGCAGGCCCACGTGAGGGGCAAAGCGGCTGCGCGGTACCATTTTGAGGACGTTGGCGGGGTGCAGGGGGCCAGGGCTGTGCACGTGTTATCTGTGAAGCCTCTCTGTTTGGACAACTTATCCCTGAGGGGCTGTTGTCAAGATGCCTGGTTCCTTTCTGGCAAGCAGCAGGTAGCAAAGGATGTCACACTCTATCGGGCCTTGCTTCGGCTGCCCCAGTACCAGACCGATCTGTTGCTCACCTTCAATCAGCCCCCCTCTGAAAGCAGGTCTCTTGGCCCTGAAAATCTGTCATGTCCACCTTGGAGCCTGGGTAACTTTGAACAACTGGTGACTGGTTTGACTCTTCGTGATCCCAACATCTTTGGTCCCCAGTGAAAATGATGGAACCTAACATACTGCTGCTGAGGGCTCAGGGATCTGGTTCTGAGAGGGGAGTTCCTTTCTACTTCTTCCCTGGACACAAACATGAGACGCTTCCTCTGCAGAAATAAACTTGCTTTAAAAACAAAAGAAAAGGAAAAGAGAAGAGGATGTTGAGAGGGTAGGTTCTGAAGAAGTTAAAGGAAAGAGTTGGTGGTGAATGTGATCAAAATACATTGTATGTTTGTTTGGAATTCTTAAAGAATTAATAAAAACATGATGTGGGTTTTTAAATTTTTTAAAAAGGAACAAAAAACCAAGGCAGATACTGTCCTGAAGAGCAACACCCATGGTCTGCACCCATATACACAAGCATGTACACATGTACACATATATACCTACACAGAGAGAGGGGGAGAGAGAGAGAGAGAGAGAGAGA